TAAAACTCAAAAGCTTATGGAAGTGATTGTTGATAAATCAAAAGAAATAAAAAGAAAAAGCAAAGATACTGGGGGGAAAGGGGGGAGATAAAAGAAGAGCTCTCTTTCCACAGAAGTGAGAGGCCTTTATGCAGGATGTTGCATATAAAAACAGACTTTTTTCAATATGTAGATAGGTTTTATTATTTTTTATTCTTTTCACCTTTTTTTGTTTCTTTTAAGAAAAAAAAATCCTTTCTTTTACAGGATTGCTTCCTGGGAAGGGAAGGTTACAGGGGTAAATCTAGGCAATGTGAAAACAAAAGATCAATAAAATATCTCTTTTTTAAAAAGGAGGTGTGACTATTGATTGTGTACCTTGCATAAGTAAGAGTAGAGGATGGCCCAGAAGCTGCTAACCAGAAATAAAGAAGTTTGGGGGAGAGTGGATTGGGGCAATGAATTGATCAACTTCAATGAGAGAGTTATCTACTGCTTACCATTCTGTGTATACTTTGTGCTGGGCTCAGGGAATTCCTAGATAATAAATAGTCTCTGCTCTGAAAGAGCTTACATTCTTTTGGTAGAGACCATGTATAGGTATGTTCCATAGAAAATAAATACACATTGGTGGACAGAGGGTGGAGAAGGACAGGGCCTGGCTCCCAAGGCTTAAGAAAAGGCATCTTGTGGAAGGTGGAGCTTGAGGGGAGTTTTCAAGGAAACAAAGGATCCTGAGAAGCAGAGAGAAGGCATTCCAGGCATGGGAGCAGCCCAGAAATGGGAGACAGCATGTTGTATGTGAGATGCCAGAAGTGTGCCAGGATGGAAGGATTGTAATGTAAGGGGAGAAGAGAAATAAGACTGGCCGAGCAGGCTGGAATCCAGTTGGGAAGAGCTTTCTGAGCTAAAGAGAAGAATTCAAGTTTGATTCTTCTTAGGGAGCCCACATCCACTTAATCCACTGGATTGAAGGATTGGAGAGGGTGGTGACTTGAGTAAAACAATCACCACCCATTTATTAGCTCCTACTACGTAAGGTCTGGGGAGGGCTTTTTAAAGATGGGGGAGACTTGGGCATGTTTGAGAGAAGCAGGGAAGAGACAGAAATGGAGAGGCTGAAGAGGAGCAAGGTGTGGGACGGTGGTGGGAGCACTCTGTTGGAAGAGATGGAAGATCTTGGGATTGAGGGTGCTGGTTAAGAAATGGGCCTCTTCATTGAGAGTTTAGGAAATGCCATTATCTGTGCTAAGCCCTGGGAATACAGTTACAACCTGAAAGATACTTTGTAGTTGTTCTGTTCTTTGAGTTGTGTTGGACTTTTCCTGACCCCATTTAGGGTTTCTTGGCAAAGATACTGGAGCCGTTTGCCATTTCGTTCCAGCTCATTTGACAGATGAGGAAACCGAGGCAAATGGGGTTAAGTGAATTGCTCAGGGTCACACAGGTAGGAAGTGAGGCCAGATTTGATGAGTCTTCCTGACTCCAGGCCTAGCACAGCCGCCTTCCTCCCAGGAGCCTCCCTCCTCTCACAGCCTCCTTCCTTCCCAGCAGTCTCCCTCCTCCCATAGCCTTCCTCCTCCCAGAAGCCTTCCTTCCCAGCAGTCTCCCTCCTCCCACAGCCTTCCTCCCCCCAGCAGTCTCCCTCCTCCCACAGCCTTCTCATCATTTTCCTCCTCCCCCTCCCTGCCTCCCACGATGAATGACCTTAGTCTCTGGAGTCCCCTCTCCTGACTGGTGACTGACTGTGCTGGAATTTTTGTGGAAAGCCTCTCCAGTTCGGGCAGCACGAACCACAATCAAAACACTTTGGCCACTGTTTCTGGATGGGTTGTATCAGTGTACTCCAGACACTCACTAACCCTCCATGTGACTTTCTAGACCCAAGTGCCTCTTCCTGGCCATCCGATAATTTTGTGGGTTGTTTCCCCCATTAGATTTCCGGCTCCTGTCTTTGCTTTTGGGTTTATTTACTTAGCAGTGTCTGGCACATGTTAATGCATTTCAAGCATGCTTTGGGTTCACAATCACAACCAGGCTGCTGTCATCCCCTTGTCTAGGGGTCTAGGGGTAACTCAGAGGGGTTGCATGTCTCTTGTCTAATGTCATCAGCTTGAGCCCCTATTCCAGGTATGTTTAGAGCCGTCTGTGACTAGTGCCCTAGTTCCATTTGAACAATCCATATTAGCTTTACAAAGTGGTAATTATTGTGAAACTGTAGCAAGAACAGGGGCAGCAATGTGAGGGGCAGGAATGCTGGCCGGCCCCTCCCCTCATCCCGGCATCTGAAGGCACCACTAGCTCTCTAGTGACATGGCCACTGGGCTGTAGCTTTAGCAGCAGGGGGAGGAGGGATCTGAGGGACTCAGGCAGGATCAGCTAGGAGGCTGGTCCAGGAGAGAACCCTGTCCCCAGGTGTGGGAGGGGCTCAGGCCAAGCATGAGCCTCAGAGGGTCTAACAAGTGGCCTGTGGGTGTCTTCGGCTGAGCGGCAAAGTGGGTGAGCAAATGGAGGTGTCTGCTCCCCCTCAAGGCCCACCCCTCCCAGAAAGGGCTCCGCTCTGGGCACTCTCTCCTCCTTGCCCACCAGCCCAGGCTTCCAGCTTCCTGCCTGTGTCCCCAAGCCTGCAGCCTCTTCCTCTCTATTGTGTCTTATCCTACTGGAGTCCCGGCCTGTCTCCTTCCTCCTTCCTTAGCGTAAAGCACAGACCTAGATTTCCTTCCTTGAATCCTCCGCTCAGTGAACAGTAAGTGGCCTGTCTCCCTTCAGGGTCCAGCCCAGGGAGCTCATCTCCTCTCCCTCTGCCCACCTTGGTGCCCACCCCAGGGGCCGGGGCTCCTCCTCCTCAGGTCCTTTGGAAAGATGCCAGAGTTCCATAAGAAGCTTGCAGCAGTTTAGAGGGAGAGTGACTGACCCCTAGTCTCCCCCCCCCCCAGAAGAATGTCTTCTCTTGACATGGTCTCTCTCCCTTCCATTGCCTAGACTCAGGTCTTAGGCATAGTGGGTATCTAACAACTGTTATGTAAAATCTGTGTGGTTGTCCTTTGGGTAGCAGCCAGCAGCAGAAACAAGGCAAGTGTCCACGGACTGGGGAACGTGTCTCCTCCGAGCAGGAAGACTAGTGAGAAGCCACCAAGCCTGGAGATGCCCTTATGCCCAAGTGAGGGGAGCAGGGCCCGAGCAGCTCCTCTCTCCCCCTTTTCTGCTGAGATGGTGAACCAAGGGGATGGAACCCTGCATACAATGCCAGGCCTGGCTAATTTCAGAACTGTTTTTTTTCCCCCTTCTTTCTGGGAGGGAAAAGTGGAAGGGATATTTCTGGAAGGGAAGGGGAGGGGAGAGGGATAAGAACTGGACCTTTGATTTCATCGGGAAACCAAAGTTATTGACAAAAGCCTCTGTGAAAAAACAGTGAGTTGAATGGCACCAGTAGATGCCCCAGGAGCCTGAGCTATCTGACCCCACCTCAGTCACCTTCAAGGACAATCCTAACAACCAGCATTTAGATAGTGCCTAAGCACTTTTCATTTGCTCAATTCATCCTCACAACCACTCTGGGTCAGTGCTGTTATCCCTATATTACAGATGAAGGAACTGAGGTAGACTTGGGACTTTGCCCAAAGTCACCCAGCTGGTAGCTGAGGCCAGATTGAAACTCGGGTCTGATTTCCTGATTCAGAAGGCCAGTTGTGTCCACTGCCTGCCCCTCCTTGGTTCTTTAGCCTTTCCCTGAGCACTACAGGGAGGTACCTGGACCCCTTCTCATCAACTCCCAGGGGCTCAAGACCTTGATGTCAAGGACTCCCAATTCTGCCTCCCCTTCAGCTGCAGCCCTTTACAGGGTGTCCCCCAAATCTCAGGATAGTGAGCCTTTTGGGACACCTGCATTACCAGTTGCATGTCGGGCAGCTCCAGGGGATAGTTCCTAGACACGTCCAGGCCAGCTTCCCCCAGGCAGCACTCCCAATGTTTGTCCCCAAGCCCCACTCCTCCAAACCTCCCTGTACAGCCCCACCCTCCAGAGTGAGAACCTTGGGGTCCTCCTTCGCTGTTCTCCCTTCCTCACTGCCCCACCACCAAACAGTGACCAGGTCTTAGCTCAGCCCCAACTCCGGCAGCCCAGGCCAGGCTTCTCCTTGCTCATTCCCTTTGCCTTGTCACCGAAATAACCTTTGAATTAGTCTCCACCTCAGATCACAGGGTCTTAGCCTGGGAGCTGAGAGGGGCATTGGAGCCGTGGAATCCTATGTCCTCATTTTACCCATGAAGTCCCTAGAGGTCGGAGGCGAAAAGTAACCCGCACTCCTGGTCTTCCCACTGTCTCCCCTCCTTTCCCAGGACAGTGGCCACAATGAGGATTCCAGGACAGAGACCTGCCCGCGGCGCTAGGATCCCACGGCCTAATAGCACTGGAAGGGCGTCAGGAGAAGACACAAGCTCGTCTTTCAGCCGGGCATCCCAAGACCTTCCCACTCTGCGTGTCCCTCATCGCCCGCCTCCAGACCTTTGGCCTGGCGGTCCCCCGAGCGCTCCCAGGGCAGCTGGCCCCGCGCCGGGCGGTGACGTCAGGCGGGAGCTACTTAGTAGCCGCTGGGTTCCGGCTCCGCCCCCCAGCCTATACTTTGTATCCCCGGGGGAAGGTCGGTTCGTCGAGGGGGCGGGGCCGGGCGAGGAGCAAGGAGAGACGGACGCTCCGCCCCCTCGAACTCGGTTCCGCCCCCGACCATTGAGAGCGCGGGCGGGAGGACTCAGCGTCCTAGAGCGGCCCGGAAACGGCTGCCGGGAGGGGCCTGTGCGGACACCGCCCGCGCACCGGCGAGCGGAGCCCCCGGGCGGCCCACGGCCCACTCGCACCGGCGAGGACCCCGCAGGGGAGCAGGAGGCCTCTGTACCGGAGCCCTGGAGCGGCCCACGAGCCTGCGGCCGGGGGAGGCGGGGCCTGGGGAGGGAACGGACGTGACGTCAAGGTCACTTCCGGTCTGCCTGGCCGTCCCCCTGACCCCGGGCCCCGAGGAGCCGCCGCCGCCGCCGTCAGGGAAGAAGAGGAGGAGGAGGAGGAAGAGGAGGAAGAAGCCCGAGGACCAGGAGGAGGAAGAGGAGGAGGAGGAAGACGGAGCGGCGGCGGCCCCGGGAGTCCAGCCCCAGCCCGACCTACACGGACAGGAACAGGAACCGCGCCGGTGAGCGGGAGGGGGGGGGTGGTATGGGGAGGGGAGCGCCTGGGAACGCGCATGTGCGTTCCTCGGGGAGGGCCCCCTTCTGAGGGGGTGGAGGAAGGCCCCCCTCCCGGGCCTCGGAGACGCGCATGCGCGGGGAGGAGGAAGGGCATTTCGGGGCCGCGCCCGCGCGCTCCCGGGGAGGGGGAGGGGCGGTGTAACGTTCCTGCTCGGGGGCGCGCGCCCAGGTAGCGGGCTCCTCCTGGTGCGCGCACCCGCCTCCTGCGGATGTTGGGGGAGGGGAGGGGCAGGAGTGACACGTGACCCTGCCCCTCCCCCCCTCTGGCCAGGCCTGGCCTCGAGACCGGAAGCTGCTTCAGAGGCTCCAGGGGGAAGTTGAGGCCGAGAGGGGGAGGGGCAAGCCTCAGTTCCCCCTCTGGGCCTCACCCGAACTGGGTGGGCCGTAGCCTCACCCCCTCCTCATCGGGTTCCACAGGGAAACTCAGTCCCCAGCAGTGTAGTGACTGGCCCAAGGTCACCCCACGCCCATCCTCCCGTCCCCCCCTCCTTCCTCCCCCCCCCCGACTCTGCAGGACGGCCCCCGGTCGCTTTCTGGACCGCGGCAGCAGGGTCGAGCCTCAGTTTCCCCCGGGCGCCTTTAGGACCTGACTCACCCCCCCCCCACTCACTGTCCCTTGGCTTCCGCCCCCGCCCCCAGGATCTGGGCCCCAGGCATGGAGCTGCGGGAGGAAGACTGGTCCCCAGAGCCCCTGGACTCCTCGGAGCAGCAGATGGCCAGCCGCGAGCACCCGGGTGAGGGGGCTGCGGGCGGCGGGGGTGGGCTGGTGGGGGAGGGGCCGGCGGGGCCTCCCCCCAGCGGGATGGGGGCAGGGGGCCGGGGGGAGGGAGGGAGGGACTGAGGTCAGGGCGCAGGGGGCCCGAGGTCGGGCTGGAACGGCAGGGCAGGAGAGGCGGGGACGGAGGGGACCCCCAGGCCAGGCTGCCGCTTCCTCCTCCCCCCTCTGGTCCTCTGTCTTCACTCCGTATCTTCTCTTTTCTCCTGTCTTTCTTCCCTCTCTTTTTTTCCTCCTCTTTCTTTCTCTTCCTCGTCCTCTTCCTCCCCCTTTCCCTTCTCTTCTCCTTCCTCTCATTCCCCCTCTTTCTCTCTCCCCCTCCTCTTCCTGTTCCTCCTTCTCTTTTCCCTCCCCCTTTACCCCTCCCCCCTCCTCTTCTCCCTTTTCGTCTCTTTTCTTATTCTCTTTCCTCTTATTCCACCTCTTCCTGTCCCTCCCCCTCCTCTTACTCCCTCTCCCTCCTCTTACCCCCTCCTCCTCTCCCCTTCCTCCCTCTCTCCCTTCCCCCTCCTCCTCTCCCCTTCCTCCCTTTCTCCCTTCCCCCTCCCCCTCTTCCTCCCCTCCTCCTCCACCTCTCAGGCTTCAGAGGAAGGGCCTTTGGGTTGGCTGAGGCTTCACAAGAAGGAGCCGCCAGCTCATGGTGACTTGCTTTCCCAGCTCTAGAGTGCTCAAGTTTCCCTAGCTTGACCAGCAGTGATGGGGAAGGTCATTCATTCCCTCCCAAAACAGCCTACACCACTTGGGAAATTCCTTTTGGCAGCTCTGCTCCCTGGCACTTTCTTCTGCCCAGAGTTCAGGGGTCTTCCTCCAGAGAATTGGAGACCCCTCTGGTGTCCTGGCCTGGCCTCTTTTTAGCTACTTTAGTTTCCTGGTCCCCTTCATAAAATGGGTACCTGGAATGAGCTGTTTCACTCCACCTGGGGTCTGACCGTGCTGGAGGGAAAGGCTCGTACTCAAAAAAATGTTAGAAAACTGGGTGTCATGTTTTAGGGAGGCTGGGAACCCTGCCCAGAGCGTATCAAGTGAAGGAAATGGGGACTAGGAGCCTGAAGGAGAGAAGATGGGGTTGGGGGAGACATGCTGCTGCATGGGAAGGGCCCTTTTCTCCCCCTTGAGCAGAGAGGGGGACCAGGCTGAGCCACAGCAAGCCCAAGGTCTCTCTGGGGCTGTTTATACTTCTGTACCTTTGGGGGGCTTGGACTCCTTGGGACTGCTGGGGTCATGGCATTGGGCCTTGGGGATCAGTCTGATTTATGCGTGACTCACGCCTTAAAAGGGGGCAGGCAGAAAGGACCTTAGCCCTTGTCGAGGCCCCGGAGGCGGCCCCTCCTTCTGACCTCCCTCCCTCCTTCCTCCAGTGGACATCCTCCTCCTGGACGATGATGAGGATGAGCCCAGCTGGCCCCCCTCCCAAGCCCTCCCCGCCGCCACCTCCCATCCCTCCCTCTGGGCCTGGGGGCCGGCCACGCCCACCGGCCCCCTATATCTGCAACGAGTGTGGCAAGAGCTTCAGCCACTGGTCGAAGCTGACCCGCCACCAGCGCACGCACACAGGCGAGCGGCCCAACGCCTGCACCGACTGTGGGAAGACCTTCTCCCAGAGCTCCCACCTGGTCCAGCACCGGCGCATCCACACGGGCGAGAAGCCCTACGCCTGCTCCGAGTGTGGCAAGCGCTTCAGCTGGAGCTCCAACCTCATGCAGCATCAGCGCATCCACACGGGCGAGAAGCCCTACGCCTGCCCCGAGTGTGGGCGCAGTTTCACTCAGAGCAAGAGCCTCGCCAAGCACCGGCGCTCCCACAGCGGCCTCAAGCCTTTTGTGTGCCCTCGCTGCGGCCGGGGCTTCAGCCAGGCCAAGAGCCTGGCCCGCCATCTGCGGCTGCACCCTGAGCTGGCTGCTGAGGGCAAGGCGGCTGCCCGCAGAGCCAGAGCTGCCGTGGTGGCCGAGGTGGAAGCCGAAGTGGCCGCCGCTGCTGCCGCCGCCGCCGCTGCAGCAGCAGCAGCTGCTGCCGCCGCCTCCATGGGGGAATCCACGGTGGAGGACGGAGACATGGCTGCCGCCGGGGATGGTGGCGGGCTGGCTTCGGGCCGAGCTCGGGCAGAGGGGGAGGTGGAGGAGAGGGTGATTAAGGTGGAAGTCGGCGCTGGTGGGGTGGTGCCCCGGCCCCGGCGAGCCCCGACTCTCAAGCCTTATGTGTGCGTGGAGTGTGGCAAAAGCTTCACGCAGGGCTCAGAGCTCCTGGCCCACCAGCGGGCCCAGCATGGGCTGGGGAGCTGGGATGGGGAGGAGGAGAAGGAGGGAGAGGACGGGGAGGAGGCCACAGCTGGAGAGGAGCCTGCCCACATCTGTGTAGAGTGCGGGGAGGGCTTCGGCCAAGGGGCGGCCTTGCGGAGACACAAGAAGACCCACGCTGTGGGGGCACCCCTGGTGTGCCAGGCCTGTGGGCAGAACTACTACGTGGCTGCTGGGGTTGTGGATGAGGGCCGGTGTAGCGAGTGCCGGGCCCGGTAGGGGCGGCGGGGCCCGGGGGGAAGGGCTCCTCGGGCTGGGAGGGAGAGAGAGAGAGCGCAATCGAGCCAGACCATGAGACACTCAGCAGGAGTTAGACATAGTGAATGATGGGTGGCGGGCAGGGGGAGAAAGCGGCACATTCCCCCACGGTCTGAGATGGGGAGTTGGGGTCCGTGGGCACGAGGGCTAGAGCCACGGCAGATCCTCCGGTGCTGTGCCTCCCTCCACCCCGTTCCCCTCCCTGGGCCCAAGAGACAGAGAGAGAGAGACCAAGACAGAGGATTCCCCCCCGCCCCCATTATCTGGGGAACCACGAGGGAAGGGGAGAAATCTCTCCCCTCCTCCCTGAGCCAAGGGGGGGAGGAAAGAGGAAAAGGAGTTCCTTTTCTCTCATTTAGCGTTTTATTTTAGTTCTCTTTCCCCCTCCTTCCTCTCAGTCCTTTTCCCCTTCTCCCTTTTCTATTCCCTCCCCTTCCTCCATTGGGGCAGCCATGCTGATCTGCCCTCCGCAGGCAAGGTTGGGGGAGGGGGAGTTGGGAACAATAAATGGAGCCATCAGATTGTCCCTCCCTGTGTGGTTCTTGAGTTTGGGGGAAGAGGGCAAAGCCAGGATCAGAGAAGGCCTAGAAGGAGTGGGTCTCCTTTTAAGGAGAAGCCAAGTGACCCGGGGTGACCGGGGCGGGCGTCCGGGACCGTGACCTTTGGAGACCGGAGTGTGGAGCTGGTGTCTGGGCCTGAGCCAGCCCCAGGTCAGCTGCTGCACGCTGTGTAACCCTGCATCTCTGCTTGGTGGAGTAGACATCCCCTTCTTGGCAAATGGAGCACCCGAGAGGTTAGAGTGCAGTCGGTGACTTCCTAGCCAAGGAAGGCCAGCCAGGGTTGGGGAGAAGTCACTGGGGATGGATGAGGACCCAAGTGGGGAGTGGACTTGTCAGAGTGAAGAGCTCAGGGCTGCATGGTACTCTCGGACAGAATCCCCACAAAGGATCCCACGATCCCAAGTGGCTGGGCTGAGCTCAGTGGTCTTTGGACTGGATGGGATGGGAGATGGCTGGTCTAGCAGTCGAGGGCACCTTGCTGGTTTCCTAGGCTGCTGAGGAGTGATGGCCTCCTCTGTGCCTCATTGGCGGATGTGGCCAAGACTTGGGAGCAGGCCAGGGCTCGCAATGGCTCCGTTTTCTGAGGAGGGAAGGTTGGCACCTGGACGTGGCCAGCCAGTTTCCTGGTAAAGGAATGGTGAGTGAGTGGCCAAAAAGGCCAGCAGCCCGGCATGGTCATTGGGGGGCTGCGTGCTCAGGAAGGTGGCCTTGATTGGGCCAGGGTTGCAGTCCAGGACAGTCTTTTACTGGGGTTTTACAAACCATTGGATGCAGCCTCAGGCTGTTGGAGGAAATGGGGAGAAAGATGGTCATGTTTTAGAGTCACGACAGCCGCGATAGTATGTGAGTCCTCCCACACGAGGTCGGCCAGGGGTCTCCAGGTGTGTCCCGGGAATCTGCACTTGACCTTGTGTAATTTACAAGTGTTGTAAATGATCCATATGGCCTGGAGAGCAAGACTCAAAGCTGTCCTGGCTGGCTAAAGCATTGGGCTGATTCTGAGAAGATGAAAATAGAAGCACGGAGTGGGGGAGGGCTGTCTGGGGCTAGTGGTGGGCTGCAGACCGACTGTGGGGATACATGCAGAATGGCCCTACTCTGCTCTGTGCTTGGCCAGCGTGTGAAGGAGGAAGTGTTTGGGCCTGCCTCCACACCTCGTGATAAGCTGAGTCCTTTGAGCAGGCCCTGAGTTCATGCAGTGAGAAGCATCTGAAGCCGGATTGGGTCCCATGGTCTAGTCAAGCCTGTCGGAGGTATTCCTGTCCTTAACTTAGATTCACTCAGCTCATGACCTCCCCTGGGGCAAGGCCCCTGGGCCTAGTGCTGAGATTGGGGGTCTGGAGTGAGGTTTGCTAAGACCTATCCTCAGTCATTTTGCCCCTAAAAATGATATTGCTTGTCCAGTCCTGGGCAGGGAGAAGCAGTCTGTGAAGCATTCTCTCCTGGGCTGGCGGTGTGTGTTTGTAATGAGGTGTGGGGGGTTGGGAAATTCAAGGGGAAAAAAATCTCCAAGAGGAGATGGGCCTTAGGGGGCATCCATCCTTACCTGTGCCTGGCTGACCTCCCTTGGGCAAGGCCCCAAGCCTAGGGAAGCCCACCCTACCTGGGGCAGCTCACTTGTCCTTGGTCAGCTCCTGCTGCTTCTAGCCACCGCTCCTGGTGCTGAAACACATCTAGCTAGCCATTATATCTGAGTGCTCCAGGCTCGGTTTCCCCAATGGCTTCAGCCAGACCTCGGGTGCTGAGGCCACTTTGGAGCCATTCTAGTTGCCCTCCTGTGGACACTTTGTCCCCAGTCTAGCTGTGGCCCCACCAGGGAGAGTGGAGGGAAACCTTGACCTCCCCAGGCCTAGACTCTTCCTGTCACCCTGTAGCCCTCAACGAGCCTGGAACTTTGCCATACAAATGGGAAGAGAGCCTGAGAAGGGTAGATGGGACAGTGAAGAGTGACCCAGAGGTTTCCGACTTTGGACCTCCATCTCCCCGTCTGCAGAATGAGTAGTGGTTGGAGATCGATTGAGATGGGATGTTGAGGAAAAGTGGCTTCCCTGGGCGTGATCTTGGAGCAAAGGTGTGTGACTCCCAGGCTCATCCGGCTGCTCTCTGGCCATGGTGCTGAAGGAAGCTTAGAGGCTGGCCTGGGTATGGAAGATTTGAACCTTCTAGCTTTTAGCAAGGGGCTCTAGAGAGAATTAGATCCTTTGTTCTCCTCATCCTGCATTTCACATGGGGAAATTAAGGTCCAGAAAGCTGACATGTCTGGGCTTGCACACAGAGTGCCTGGGTTTTTGGCCTGGGAGCTGAGGGCCTTGAGCTCTTGTTCTTAGCCGACAGCACACTAATGCGTGAGGTCATGTACTGGGAGTAGCAGGTGGGATGCAGTGATTGGAGGTTGGAGGGGAGCCTGGCAGGGGGCTCCCTGCCATCTATAAGCTTGAAAGGTTGGAGTAGGTCTCTAGGGTCTCTTGTAGCTGATAGTCTGGTGTATTGTGGCCCAAGTATGTGTCTGGCCATCCCTTTGTGCATGTGTGTGTCCCATTGGCTCTTTGGGCTTCTCTGAGACTGAGGCTCACAAAGGGTCTCTTGGGTGGGGTGGGCCCATGGGCATCCCTTCAACCTCCTTGCTTCAGTCCCTTCCCAGGATCTGAGCTAGTCGGTATAGCTGATGTGTTTGGTAAGTGCTGTGTCCTTGTCCTCTGGGAGAGCAGATCAGGGAATTAGAGCTTGGCTTTGACACCCATGGGTCAGCCTCATTGCAAAAATTGACTGACTGATTTGTGGCTAGAGCAAGGGGGCTTGCAGATCCTCTGATCCAAATAGGACCCAGAGAGTCTCTAGAAAACCTTGACATGAGAAGGTACTTCAGGGTCCTCAAGTCTAATGTGTCCCTTCCAAAGAAGCCTCTAGTCTGCACCATCCCTAGCCCCTGCTTCCCCTCCCCCCTCACCCCCTACCACTGTTACTGCTCCTGCTGTCCACTCAGTGAAGCCCAGTAATCACCGGCAAGACTGAGGTGCAATCACCTGATTACATTTATTCCATGATGGCACTTGGGGTAGTGAGAATGAAGTCACAGACCACTTGGACCAGGGCAGGCCAAGTGGGCTTTGCCTCAGGCACCACTTCCTCTCCCAGTATGTCGTGGGCAGTCCAGCTTTTGGCATCAGGTGCAAGAGCAGCCAAAGCAGCGAGGCCCTTGTCTGATGGGCCCCTGCTTCATCCTGGAGACTTCTCTTCCAGTTACACCTTTCAGAAGCATTCCTTCCCACAGCCACCCCAGCCAGGTTTTGGGGAGGTGAGCCCCAGCACCTGGAGGCACTCCTAAAGAGTGGATGGTCCTGTTCACACCAGCCAGGGGTGGGGGTGGGGGGAAGGCAAGGCCAGCAGAGTCAGGTCAGCCAAGTGGGAAGGATTATCTGGAAACAAACGCCTTTTGAAAGTGGCCAGCTTAGAGAATTGGGCGGAGGAAGGAGATGACCCATGAAGGAGGTGAGTCGCTTTTCCTCTGTTCCTGATGAGGCACCAGTAACTGCTGTCCAAACCAATCCTAGCCCCAGAGGCAGAACCAAGGGGAGGGTGGCTGGGGCCAGGGCCAAGATAGCTGCGGAATGGATGTACCCCAGACATCTCAGTCAGGAGGAGCTTTCTAGAGATGCTGAACAGGTACTGCTTGGATGAGGGTTTCACAGAGGCCCTGGGACGTAGATTGAAGGTTTGCTTTCCTATGGCTACATGCCCTTGGCATGGCTTGTGCAGGGCACCTTCCGAGGCTTGGCCTTGGGCTTAAGCTGCTCAGCTGCTCCAGGCCTCTGCTCTAGGTTCTCTTGCCCCTTGCCTTCTCCGTGGTCCACCAGCTTTCTACTGCTTTGCATGTGCTGCTGAATTCTGTCAGAGAAAGTCCCACCATGAGCCAACTGAGTCCAAGGCAGTTTGTGTTCCCGTTTCCCAGTGGAGCCCTCACTGCTGCCTGAGTGTTCTTTGTTCTCTCGCTGAGAATTTCACTCTCCACAGAGGCTGTCCCATTCACTCTTCTGCCTCCAGCCACCTTTTGCCTTCCTCCTTGTCAGGTGACCTGAGAAAATGGAAGCCATTCCTCACAAACTCCTGTCTTGTGTGTCTCAGCACCTCATCTCTCCCTTTCCGTTTTCTTTTGCTTTGTTCCAGACTTTGAGGAAGAAGCAGTCCTCTTTTTAAAATGTTACTGGATTTTTTTTTAAACTTGGAATTTACTTCCCTATACTTCCTTCCCCCCCCCCACAGGTTCCTCCTCTCTAAGAAAGACATATATAACCACTTGCATATATCCCTTTCTCCCCCTAAGAAGCCATAGTTCAGCTTCTCATCTCACCCTGGAGGATTGCAATAGCCTCCTGGTTACTGGCCCTTCCTGTAGTCTCTTCTCATCAGAGCCATACTCAAGCAAGTTTGATCACATCCTCCTTCTGCTCCCGTAGCTCAAGGATCAGGGGCAACCTTCTCTCTTGAGCATTAAAAGCTCATCACATCCCTTATATTTTAGCCAAACTAGCCTTACTGTTCTCAGAACTCAGTATTCTATCTCCCTGTCTAAGCCTTGAGATAGGCTGAACCCCCATGCCTGTATATCACTCCCTGAGCGTCCACTTGTACTGGCAGTTTGTGTCCACAGAGGGTAGTGGACTCTGTCTTCTTGGAATTCTAGGGGGTTAACCTAGGGAGCTTCTGATGCTAGAGATACTGTGCTTCCCAATGCTGATTCACCAGTTGGCCTCAATTATCTTGGATAAAGGGCTATTTCCTGAGAAGGTATAAC